AATATGATCACACAGTAACTACATAGGAAGTTTGTTCAGAAGACTCCTCAGAGAACAGATGGTTTACTACCATCAAAAATTGCAAGACTTAATGTTTGCAGAGGTAGCTCTTACTGATTGTTGGCTGAGTCTTCAAAAAGCAGCATAAAGTATATGCAACACGGTGTCTGAAATAAGACAAGTACCAGGCAGGGACAGGTCTGGCCAGGGAGATGGCAGAAAATGCCACACCCTGTTCAGGAAGGATCCATGCACAGCTTCATCTTGCTGGGGGCACTGGGCAGAGCTGCAGCTGCTGCCAAACACGCATTAACACCTCACAGTTAGCATTTAACTCCTGGAGACTCCTTGGCTTAACTGGAGGCAAAGAAATGGGTTTCTTGACCTCTCTCCTATTCAAAATAATGCCTGTCATTTTCATTAACAGACAACACAACTGCACAGTGCAACAGGCATCAATCCACTTTACAGCAAGTCCCACAGCAAATAAAGTGCCTTGGAGTCACAACTTCCAGTAGCTCACAAATGTGCCCACAGTAAATTTAAAATGCTCTTATGCCACTCAATCAAAGAAACAGAAAACAGCCAAGGGGAATTACAGCTGAGATTCTTACATCATGCTGAAATGTATGGTGGGTAAGGTAATTACTGACAGAGAGAGCAATGTAATTGTTCACTTAAGAATTATTGAAATGGGTTTCTGAAGGACAGGAAAAAAATCAGAAAAAACCCAAAAACAATGTTTTCCAATAACTACGTTATCATCAAGTAAGATTCAGAGATACAGTTGCTGACAAATAGACATAAGTATACTTTTGCATATGAAGCAAGTTTATACGTGTATTGTTTACAAAGTATACTGGCAACTTGCCTTACCTAATGAGAATAGTAGTTTTGTTTTTTCTTTCTTTTTTTTCCCCATCTTTTTGAGACAGGGTCTCCCTGTAGCTCCAGCTGTCCTGGAACTCACTATGTAGACCAGGCTGGCCTTGGACTCACAGAGATCCGCCTGCCTCTGCCTCCCAAGTGCTGAGATTAAAGGCGTGCACACCATGCCCGGCTGAGAATAGATTTTAATATTATGGAAGGAGGGAAGAAGGGGAGAGGGGACAGGAGGGGAGG